ATCTTTTAGCGGTAAAAGGTATTTCATTTCATTCGTTGATGATTTCTCACGAAAAACTTGGGTTTATTTTCTGAAGGAAAAATTTGAGGCTTTCGAGATGTTCAAAAATTTCAAAGTGGTGGTGGAAAAGGCAACTGGTAGACACATCAAATCAGTATGATCCGATAGAGGTGGTGAGTATACTTTGATGGCTTTCATGGAGTATTATGAGGCAGAAGGCATAAGGCAATTTCTAACCGCACCGTACTCTCCCCAACAAAATGGTGTGGCCGAGAGGAAGAATCGGACAGTTCTTGATATGGTTCGATCAATGCTCAAGAGCAAGAAGATGCTGAAGGAATTTTGGGCGGAAGCTGTGCAATGTGCTGTCTATGTGCAAAATCGGTGTCCACATGCGAAGCTGGATGATCAAACTCCACAAGAGGCATGGAGCGAACAAAAACCAACAGTTTCTCATCTCAAAGTATTTGGTAGTATGGCCTATGCACACATGCCAGATCAGCGAAGAACGAAGCTCGAAGACAAAAGCAAAAGGTATATTTTTATTGGGTATGACGAGAAAGCAAAAGCATACAAGTTGTTAGACCCAATAAGCAAGAAGGTTGTGGTAAGTCGTGATGTACGAGTTAATGAAGCAAGCAAGTGGGATTGGAGTAACTCAACAGAGGTTATCAACGAAGATGGAGGATCTTCAACCGTTCTACCAACAATTAAATCAACAAATCCTAAAATTATTGATGATGAAAATGAACCACAACAACCCAAAATGCGAAGCTTGCAAGATTTGTATGACTCAACAAATGAGGTACACATTGTTTGTCTCTTGGCTGATTCTGAAAATATAAGTTTTGAACAGGCAGTGCAAGACATGAAGTGGAAAACAACCATGGACGAGGAGATCAGAGCAATTGACCACAACAACACATGGGAGTTAGCAGAATTGCCAAAAGGAAGTCAACCCATTGGTGTGAAGTGGGTGTTTAAGAGAAAGATGAATGCTCAAGGCGAGATAGAATGGTACAAGGCACGACTTGTTGCAAAGGGATACAAGCAAAAGGAGGGAATTGACTATGATGAAGTGTTTGCTCCTGTTACAAGAATGGAGACAATTCGATTGCTCATTTCACATGCGGCTCAATTCGAATGGCCGATATTTCAAATGGATGTCAAGACATCATTCTTGAATGGTGTACTCGAAGAAGAAATCTACATCGAACAACCACCCGGTTATGTGAAAAGTGGAGAAGAGAAGAAGGTGTTGAAATTGAAGAAGGCGCTCTACGGGTTGAAGCAAGCACCGCGGGCATGGAATACTCGCATTGATACATACTTCAAGGAGAACAGGTTTGAACAATGTCCCTATGAACATGCCCTTTATGTGAAAAAGAATGGAGTTAATATGTTATTTGCAGCTCTTTATGTTGATGATCTCATTTTCATGGGGAACAATGATGAGATGGTACAAGAGTTTAAGAGCACAATGGCACGGGAATTCGAGATGACAGATTTGGGTTTGATGAAGTTTTTTCTTGGTCTAGAGGTAAGACAAGGAGAGACGGGGATTTTTGTGTCACAGGAGACATATGCAAAGGAGATTTTGGAAAAATACAAAATGACATATTGCAATCCAGTATCAACACCAATGGAACCGGGTGCAAAACTCTCAAAATTTGATGGAGGAGATCGAGTCGATGCGAGCAAATATCGGAGTTTGGTGGGAAGTCTTCGCTATCTCACATGCACAAGACCAGATCTTTCATTAAGTGTTGGCATTGTAAGTTGATTCATGGAGGAGCCTGTTTATTCACACTGGAAGGCGTTGAAGTGAATTCTACGGTATATTCAAGGAACGGTGTCACTCGGTTTATTCTATTCAAGTGCGGAAGATTACAAGTTGAATGGGTATTCTGACAGTGACTGGTGTGGAGACTTATTCGATCGAAAAAGTACGTCTGAATATGTATTCTTTATAGGAGACGCAGCTTGTGACACCCTTACTACCCCAACACATATATTGTATAAATAAACTAAGGAAATAAATTTTTATACGTCGGTAAAAGGGTTCACATAAAAACATTTAGAAATATTCTTCGATATCCAAAATATTTTGAAAAGGAACTTGGAAAATAAAATATAAGAGGTTACAAAATGTTTTCAAAATAATAGTACAACTCCATTTACAAATAAAGTTCATGTCCTAGAAGTCCTCTGCCCCGATGTCACAATATCAGAGCATACCCACAACTCAACTGTTGGCATTCTAGATGCCACTCATAGCCGGATCTTCCTCACCTAAAACATCCACAAATTGTACGGTGAGAAAGGAAAACATTTATATGTAAAGAACACAAGGAAAAACGCAACATATCATCTCATTATAAAATATTCATAAACATTTTAATATATCATAACTCTATCAATCATGCATCATCATCACATCACAATTCGCAATCACACCAATCCATCACAAATCTTACAATTAACCTTATGCCAAGGTCACGCCTGTAGCATCTCTTGCTCAAGGTCGTGCCACCCCCGACATAAGCATTAATTGCCTCACACATCCCACCCTATGCCAAGGTCACGCCTGTAGCATCTCTTGCCCAAGGTCGTGCCACCCCCGACATAAGCATGAGAAATCACACATCCTACACTGTGCCAAGGTCACGCCTGCAACATCTCTTGCTCGAGGTCGTGCCACCCCCGACATAAGCATGAGGAATCACCCATCCCATACTATGTCAAGGTCACGCCTGTAGCATTTCTTGCCTAGGGTCGTGCCACCCCTGGTCACAAGTGTGAGGAACCACAATCACATCCTCATTCACATCCACATCCACATCCACATCCACATCCACATCCACATCCACATCCACATCCACATCCACATATCAATTCCACAATACATACACAATCCACACAAAATGGTGGTTCACATACCCCTCAAATAATTCACCATGAATCCTCATCTAGATTATCAATTTTATCAAATAATATAACAATAACATTCATTAACTAATATAATAATCAATAGAATTATCAATTTAATATAAATTCAACATAAACTGTAAAACCCCCAATTGTTCCAAAACCTAGCTCACAGGCACTTCTCTACAATTTCGTTCTCTCTCCCAGATCATCATTCTTACAAATTAAATATATATTTCTATTCCTCAACACATACGGAATCTAATGGTATAATTAATTCCTCAAACAGAAATGATTATAAATTTACTCGTAATCCTAAGGCTCTTCTTCTACCCAATTCCCTCATGTAATTCCACATATAAATAATCCCCTGTTCCCCCGTACCTGGATAAATAGTAGTTGAAACTACGGATCTGGTTGATCTCCCTCGCTGGGTTCCTCTCGATCTTCAGAGAGTGCAGAAGAAAAGGGAATGAAGAGAGAACATAAAATAATAAGAAGAGAGAATGAGAGATGTGTGAAAATGACAGGTGAGGGGCGCTATTTATAGGATTTCAGGCTCACCTACCGGAATGGCCCGTTCCAAAAGTGGAACGCCCGTTCTGGATCTTTTAAATCTACGCAAATTTTTGAACTGGAACGGCCCGTTCCAAAAATAGAACGACTCGTTCCCAAACCCAGCAGAATGGCCCGTTCTCCCTCCGGAACGGCCCGTTCTCCCTCCGGAACGACCCGTTCTCCAAACCAGAATGACACGTTCTCCAAACCAGAACGACCCGTTCTCCCTCTGGAACGGCCCATTCTCCCAACCGGAACGGCCCATTCTCCTCCAGAATAGCCTGTTCTGCTTTTCCAATTTTGGGCCTTTAACTTATTCCAGAACGGCCCGTTTCACTTTTGAAACGACCCGTTCTGGGCAACGAATTGGGCCTATGGCCCATTGAAAATTGGGCTGTTACACAGCTTTTACTTGGTTTTCAAAAAAGCAACCAATCGTAACACTCTCGACATGTGAAGCTGAATATGTGGCAGCGTCTTGGTGTGTATGTCATGCAATATGGCTTAGAAATCTGTTGGGTAAATTGGAGCAACAACAAATTGGTGCGACTGTGATACGAGTTGACAATAAATCAGCAATTGAATTGGCAAAGAACCCAGTAAATCATGAGAGAAGCAAACACATTGATGTTCACTTTCACTTCATCCGAGATCATGTGAAGGAAGGAAATGTGGAATTAGTGCACGTGGCAAGTCGAGACCAAGTCGCAGATATTTTCACGAAACCGCTACCAACAGTACTTTTTAACAACTGCAAGAAATTGATTGGCATGAAGGATGGCAGAAGCATTTAAGTTTACGTAGGAGTTTTGTTGAAATAAACTTAAATGTCAGTTTTTAATGGTTTTAATTTAGCAGTTTCTTATTTGATTCAAATAAAATGTCAAGAGTCAATAGTTATTAGTAATAATGGGTTTTGATTGTAGGCTGTTAATAGAATTTTAAGCTTTTGAGCTTCTGAAGGATAAATATCAGTCTATATATATCATTGTATTGTTTGATTATATAGTAAAATAAAAATAGAGAAATTCCACCTTCTCCTCTATCAGTTTTTTTAATTCTACAATATCGGGATAATGGAATTAAAATAGAGTTTACTTTTTATGTTGATTACCTTCTTTTCGTATTTAAATATTGTTGAAAACTTGTGTTTTATAATTATTATATTTTTATTTGGTTCGATATTTGAAGGTGAATTTCATGTGAACCTATTTTACTTGAATAGTTATTAAAATTTTTCCTTATTTTATTGTATTATATGTTGGGATAGAATGAATCCCACATATTTGTGATCATTTGGATCTGTTACTTTCAGAATACTCGACAATGAAATAGTTGTAGATACCTTACTTTCAACATATTTGAAAACGGCATAATCGTAGATACCTTACTTTCAACATATTTGAAAACGTAATAATCGTAGATACCTTACTTTCAAGGTCTTAATGACGGAATCATTATACAGTTTTATAAAATTCGAAATTGGCAATAGCTTATACCTTCAATATTTTGCAGCCGATTTCTTCCCTTCTTGCACTCTGACTGTTGTAGAATGATGCTGCTTCCAAGTAAGTTCAGAAGAATACAATATAATTTTGTGTTTTCTTTATTTCATTTAATCAAATTTCATTTTTTTACGTAAAATTTTCTTATTCTCTGTAACTTTCTTGTGGTAATACTTTCAAATTAGTCACTTTTATTTTGCACCGAAATATCCTTCTGTTTTTGGCTTACATCACACGGGTTGCTCTTGCACTCAATAATTTCATATCTACTTCTATAGAAATTTGAATAGTCATCTTGAATGAAAAAGTTTGAGGGATTATTCTTAAATGAAAATGGTTTTGAAAGCTATTTTTCTGAGAGTCGTTTGCATTATTATTGAGCCATATGTCTTATCTATTTTTCTTGAATGATCAAAAATAAATATCTCTTATCTTATTATAAAATTAAATTTGACAATAAATCATATATATATAAATTGTATTTTAAATTTTAAATAATTTAAATTGTGACATAAGATTATTTTTAATTAATGATAATGTATTTTAAAAATATTAAAGTTTAATTTATAACTAAATATGATAAATAAAAATTAGGTTAACTTAATCTATTAATTTCTATAATTTAATTTTCTCAAATTTTTAATTAAGTCCTATAACTAAAAACACTCTAAAAAAATACTTAAACTTAAAAAATTAGTAACTAAATCTTTCACCCACTAATGCTGTCAAAGTTCCGTTAGATTTTTTTACTAGATTTTTTGACATGTCAATTACGTTTTAATATGATAATTAACTATTTCTTGGTCTAACCAGATTAGTCTCAGACAAATTCTAAACATTGATGTGAAAGAAAAAAGAAAAAAGATATAATTATATTTTTTATTTTAAATTCTTTATTATTTTTTTGATTAATTTCTATTCCTAAAAAATTACGAACTTGCAAAAAATAAATATTTTAAAATTATATACATATAATTTAAAATAAATAAATATTTTAAATATATAAATTTTACTATATTAAAATTAAAAGAAAAACAAAATAACATAATTCTGAATGTAAGAATGTGTTCCATTTATTATTTAACATTTTCTTTTATCTGTATTGCATTTCATAATTAATTAAAATGTTGTATGACCTTTTTTTAAATTATTATTATTATTATTATCATCAAATAATAATAGATAAAATATTTATGAATGTGTAAAAAAAATAATATATTAGATTTATAAAACTGAGAAATTCTTCTGAAAAACAAAACTTTTGTCCACATAATTTAAATTTTAAACATAATTTTAAAATTTAATTCAAATTGTGTTTCGAGTTCATCTTCTTTGACAAGAGTACTTTTAGGATTTATCTCCATCTCTCATTTTTTTAATTCATCATTTTTTATTTTTTAGATTTAAATTCAATTTTAATTTAAAATATTAATAATTTAAGAATTATATTACAATATAAATTATTTATTAGATATCTAAAATAAATTTATATTTTTAAAAATATATATTATTATAAATTTTAATTACAGTACAATTTTAAACCATTTCAAATTAGTCTCCTATTAAAATACATTTCAATGGATCACCTTTTTATCTTTATTTCAAAATCGTATGTCAACAAAAAAAAAAAATTGAATGTTGGTTGTTATCAATAACTTCTTATTTCAGCCATAGTCACTTGGATGTCCATAGAAGGGCATAGGAGGCTAGAACAAGTGATCCCAAATTCAGTGCAGAAATGGTGGGATAAATGGGAGCTACGAGGACTCGTTTTGATTAGCCTTGTCACACAGATCATATTGACAATATTGGGTGACCGTAGAAAATGGAAACCCAATATTTTGACACGACCACTTTTGTGGTCTGCCTACTTGCTAGCAGATTGGGTGGCAGCTGTAGCAATGGGAGTCATCTCCAGCAATCTAGGAGACATTTACAACAAAGGTGAACAGCCAAAGAATGTTGATCCTCAACTTCTTGCATTCTGGGCTACTTTTTTTTCTGATTCACCTTGGTGGTCCTGATACAATCACAGCTTATTCCTTAGAAGACAATGAGTTATGGCTAAGGCATTTTGTTGGTTTGTTGTCTCAATCAACCCTCACTGTCTATGTAATTATTTTGTCTTGGCAAGGTAATTGGCTTTCGCATCTTACCATTCCCATGCTAATTGTTGGGATTATCAAGTACGGGGAAAAGACTTGGTCTCTTTATTGTGGAACTATCAAGTATCTCAGGGATTCTTTCCTTGGTTCAAGTTATTCTTCTAGGAAATCGATAATTACGAAAGCTATCAGGGAAGAACATAGGAGTTTTCTTCGAGCCATTTATATCTTTATAAGCCTCTTTGTTGATATGGTTTTGAGTCCACGGGACATTCCTGAAGATAGAAACAAATTTCTAGAAGAAGGAAGTCCCAAATGGAGTTTAGTGGATTCTGAACTTAAATTGATGTACGATGTCTTCTATACCAAGGCATTTGCAAATTATGGCATGCGGGGTTTCATATCACGCTTCATCACTCTAACTACCATTATTGTTGTGCTTGTATTATATGCTTGTTTAAGTGAAAGAAATGAGCACCTGGATTTGGACCACGTCATCACGTACTTGTTGGTGATTGGAGCATTGTTAGCAGATATATATGCTTTTACGTTAGTTCTGATTTCCAAATGGACAGATTGGTACGTGGATATGATGATGCTAAAGATTGATATTGAAGCTTTACATCTTGCTTGTTTGCTCCTAGGTTTTTTGGCCACATGCTGTTTTGTACAGAAAGAGGGTGTTACTATTGGAGTTTCTTTGGGACAGTCTAACTTTTTCAATTTGATTTCCAACAAAAGTTTGAACATAAAGGGTAATTTCTTCCCGGTGAAAAAGTTAGAAGAACTCTCAAGTGTTACATATTGTTTATCCTCAGATGATCTAAAGAAAGAGATCCTTAAAATTTTGCGTGATAAATCACAGTTCATGCTATCAAATCCTTCGAGTTCCCCTGGATATAGGACTCTTTTATTGGGAAAAAATGTTCCAATTTTTGCAAGTGAACTCGAACTGCATAGAACAATAATTACTTGGCACATTGCTACAGATATGTTTTATAACTCTGCTGGCAACTCAAATTCTAACTTAGGAACAAGGAAAAACTGTAAAGTGATGTCTGACTATATGTTTTACCTCTTGGTCAAGCAACGTCAGATGTTGCCAGTAGGAGCGGGGCTGATAACTCTTCAAGACACAGTAATTGAAGCCAAGAAAACTTTTGTAGTTCCACAAATTAATTTAGCTCAAATGAGTGGGATATTGCTTCAACATGACACGACCAGAGCAAGAGATGAAGCCTCAGAGACCAGAGCAAGAGATGAAGCCTCAAAGATGCAAAGTACATCTGTTCTATTTCATGCTTGTGCAGTTGCAAAACAACTCATTGATGAAAAAAATAGACAACGAACATGGGAATTTGTTGAAGAATTGTGGATTGAGATTATGAGGTACGCTAGTGCTCAATGTAGAGTAGATATGCATGCTCATCAACTTAGAAGAGACCCTGAATTTTTGTCTCATGTTTGGCTCTATCAAGCTCATCTTGGTTTGTTGGATCAATTTCAAATAACACCCCGCCATACAAGTGTGTAACTGGGTGAGTGTTAGGCCCTGAATAAGGAAAAGTTAATCCATCATGTAAGTTCAAACATTTTATTTATGTTTCTATCTGTAACATCTCGTATTGATGCGTTGTATTGAGGTATCATATAGAGTCACCAACACTTTAATATACAATTTGGCATACGTTAAAGTTAGTTTTACCGAAGTATCATTTTTCGTTAGATAACATAAAACTTACTCTCTAAAGTATTTGACATATTGATTTCTTTGATAAAGTGAATGCACTTACTAATCTACAATGCACACATTTTTTAGTTATTATTTTAGCCGAATACAATCCTCACATTTTGTTTGACAGTTTTATCCATACATTTTGGTTATATAAATCAAGAGCTCTCTTCTTCTTTGTTTGCTTATTCCTTTGCCAAGAATGGCTATTTCCGTTCTTATGATGGAAGAACAGGGACAAAATGCATAATTTAACATATGAAATTTCAAGGCTTGACTCTAGTTGTATCATTAACTTCTTATGTCAGGGCCTCTGAAAAGGCGAATATCTTATGTCAGGGCCTCAATAGGCGAATATCTAACACTTTTGGCATGAATCCCACTTCTTGAAATTTAATTATGTGATGGTCCATGCATGAGCGAGGGAATGTGCTTATGATGTCATGAGGCATTGTCAATTATTGTTATTTGTAAGTTGTAACAACTCGTTTTGATGTGTTGGATTAATGTGGTTATGTGTCGAGTTACCAACACTTAAAATTTGGTAACGTTACATTCAATTTTCAATTATGCATATAAAAATTATACATTTTTTTTTCTTCGTTTTTATGAATAGATATTGTAACGACCCGCCTTGACCGTCACACTGCGGAAAACAACTAAAATCAACTGAAAATATATATACTAAATAGTATGTTATCAATCAACATAAGTAAAACTACAACCATCCAACAATATTGGCTCAACAAGCCATAAAATATATACAAGTCTACAAAATAAGCTCTACTACTAGGAGTAGTCAACAAAATATATCTCTCCAGCTCCTGCCACCAAGTGGGCTCCATCAGCTAACACTAGTTTATCCCTGCCCTACTCTTATACATCATATGATCATTACAGTCCAAATCACATGGAAACATGTAAGGGTAAGCTAGTGAAAATAAACAACTCATATATATAAAATATACAACACGGGCAATTTAACATCACTATCATCATCTTCATCAACTTGTTCAACATACAACATATAATACTTAAACAACATATGAATATAAAAGCAACCTGCAACACAACATCACTATCAATAAGAACGACTTATTCATCATACATCACACAACACAAAGGCAATACACAACTGTATAAAAACTTCACAACATATCAACACATACAACTCATCAACACATGCGTCATCACGCATTTCAACTCAGAGATCTCCTATAACACAGGGTGAGTAGCTTAAGTGGCTAGGTCCTACCGAACTGACAACACAGAACCTTTTTGGGCTTGCTAGGTAAACAACAAATTTGGATAAAAATCAACAACACAATAACGGTTTCTCAGACTTTGCCACTTAAACAAGGAAGTATAGTACTATGTTAGGATAGGACAACTGGGTTTAGGCCTACCACGACATTAACTAGCTCAACTAAGCCACATATGGGATTAGCCTACTGACTAACCTCCAAATACTACAATCCTCCGATACTCAGTTAGGAACTAAGTTCCCGACTTCGTATTTTACTCGAATGGGCCGTTTGTAATCGGTATAGCTCGACCTGGCCCCTATACCATGGTCGCTTTGTACATGTGTGCCTCGACCTTGCCCACACACAGGACCAACTAAGTCTTAGAGGAGAAAAACACATCATCCACTCCAAGAAACAACTTCACAAGGAGGGTTTTTCAACAAATTGGGCTCTTAGAGCACCACAACACTCTCAATCTACACAATGGGATGAACAACTTCAAAAACATATCCCCTAGTCTTAATGATCAATAACTCATCATCACAGCACAACAACATAGTTATCATCTCATCATCTCAACTATCAGCTCATTTCAATAACAACTCATCATCACAGCACAACAACTTAATAGCTCAACTCACAATTTACAACTCAACCATCATAAAGTAATATCTTTTCAACACTATATTACACATGCATCTCAATGACATATCCACATTGTTCATTTAATATCCCAATATAACTACACACCTTCATAACACAATTATCAACATATATAGTTTTCTCATTATACTACAACAATCATCATTATTCAACATTTTATCATTTAAAATAACACACAACATTTTCATCACAATACAACTCATACTACATATTTACAAATCATTTATCAAGCCAACTTGCACATAAACAACATACATCAACCTAATCACCCAAAACAACTTTTAATTTAACCAAATCATTTATTATGAAATGACAACTTTCACATAAAACAGCATAAATTAATTTATACTCCTCATATCATTCTCATCATTAGCTCAAATGAAAGATAATAAGATTTCTTACAACTCTTATGAAGACATCTATTTCTAATTTTATCATCTACTTTGTTAAAAAAATTCAAAACCGCAACAGCTACAACCGATTTTGACAGCTTAACCCTTGTTCACTAAAACAACCATATTTGGAGTTCCAGACCTCTGTTTTGAATGATTCTGGTGCCATTGGAAAGATAACATCCAAGGCTACAACTTTTATGAAGAATTTGAGACCAAATTTGTGACACCCTTACTACCCCAACACATATATTTTATAAATAAACTGAAATATAGGAGAAAAATTGGATCATTTCGATTGAAAGAACAATTCATGTGTTACCATGTATATTGATGTACACTCATGCATAAGTCGTAAGCTTATAAACCCATAATGATAAAAAAAAATTGTATAAAAATATATTTTAAATATTGATAATTTATTTTTGTTTTTATAAATTTATTTGTTTATTTATATTTTTAATAATCTCCTCCTTCATTTCAATTTTTTTAGTGGGATTAGGAACGGTGTAGCTTACAGGCATTTTCCCTAGATTAGCCTTTCCGAAAATAATAGGTTGAAGTCATTTGTTTGACCCCATATCCATGATCTTCTGCTTCTCTTCTTTGTCTTCAAGATTGTGAAACTTGTGGTAGACTCCTTGATCCCAGAGGATTTTATTTAGAAGCATAGTGTGAACTATGAAATTTTTACAATCTTTTAGACATCCTTTCCAATGCTGAAATAATGTTTGAGGTAGGTCAAAGGCAGTTCCTGTCATCATATGGAATAGACAAAATTTGTGCATATCTGATATGCTTTCTTTGCCACCTATTTTGTGGAGGATTGATTTGTTCAAAATTTGTTGACAAATTTTGGCCATGTCATCAAGCTTGTTGTAGACAATTAGCCCTTTCTCACCTTCTTTGTGAAGAGCTTTGATAGCTTTTGTCATCGCACCGGCGTCGAAAATCCACTATTCCCCATAAGTGTTCCCAGCTATTTCTCATCCAATGGCTTGAGCAATGAAGGAGGGGGATATCCTGACCCATACTCCGATGACCTTTCCTTCAAAAGATCATTGATGGATTCTTAGAGATTCGTAGAATAATTTTATCATACCAGGGTAGGCTACTTCCTTAATGTTGAAGTACCCAAGGATTCCGCATTTGGAAAAATCTTCATAGATAGGTATTCCCCAATCTTGCAATTTGTTAATGTCGAAGCGATGCTCTAAGTACATAACTGGTTTTTCCGCTGTAGAGAAGGTGTGAGCATAATCAGTAGCTTCGTGCATTTCTGTTGGAATGTTCACATCTGCGACGTTTCCAGTTTATGCGGCCATTGCAATGGAGAATAAGGGTTTCAAAGATAAGAGATTAGGGTTTAGAGACTTGAGGCGGAGGTGAAGAGTTTTGTGTTTCAAAGTTGTAAAGTGTAGGGAGTACATTTTCTAATAGGAGGGAAGATATAAGATTTCTTTTTTGAAACAGAAGGATATTTCCTATTTTTTTTTACTTGTTTCCCTTATGATTATATGACGTGGCGTCCTTTGGTCTACTCCATGTAAGCTTGTCGTATGGCGCACATTAATATTAGGAAGGAGATTTGGCTTTTCAAGAGAGGATTCCAAACAATGATTTTGTCGTTTGTCTACTCAGTTGTCTCATTCTTTTAAATGCGGAGAATGTTTGTCTCTGACCGCACTACGTTATTAATGACAATTTTGACGAACTAAATTTTTTCAAATGCAAGAGAAGTGGTTTGCACACTTTATCTGACGAAGAATCTCAAACGCTATAATTTCTTGCAATATCCTTAGGTGTATACAGACGCAGTAATTCATTGTGTCTCTGTCTGCATGGACAATAGATGTATATGAATATTATAGCATATCAAACGATATCTATTCTAATACAGTGTAGATTATGCTTTATTTGAGTAAGTAAAATGATACCTGTTTTACCTATATTAGTCATTCATCTTGCTTTCTTTTTAGCTTCCTTTGTCCTTCGTTCTTCTATGGATCGTTGTATTCCCCTGCATTGTTAGATGCTTAACCCAAGGGGTCAAGCTCTAATACCAACTGAAGTTAGCAGAAAAAACACATAGAAGGGGGGTTGAATATGTGTGTATGTACAAAGGAATTTTGAAATCATTTTTGCAAGAGTAATATACTTCGTCCAATGAACTTATAAATATCAGACAATTACCCAGAATTTAATTAACATAAGGTCATTGCTTCTGACAAGTTTATCGGCTGTTGAGGAAAAAGATTTCGAATAATAATTATTAAAGTTGTTTCACTTTTCTTTTCAAGATAGTTTTGTCTAAAAAATGGTTTTTAACAATATGTAAATATTGGATGAAGTCTTTCACAAAGATCTACAAAAAATAATGTTCCTAGTTAAGTAGGAAAAACAATGAAATCATTTTATACTGGTTCGCTCAATTGAGTTACGTCCAGTCTCCTTCAACTGAAGGGTTCCACTAGATATGCAATTTAATACACAAGTATTGTCGACCACTTCTAGCTTTGAGTATTCTCGACCACTCCTGGCCCGTTAGCTTCACTTACCAACGCTAGTATTCTTAAACGACTTCTGGTTCTCCAAGTATTCTCGA